TCTATAGGAAAAAATACTCATTGGATCTTTTTCTTAGTCATTAATTCTCAGTTCAGTTCACAATTTACACTGATTATTTGGCAAATTTTGAATCTTCCAGATTTCTTACCTCAAATTTGAACATTCATAATTCTTAGCACACACTCTTGAAGTGCTCCACCACTTTAACTAAAGCTCAAGATATGTACTATATTCTCACCAAATTTCATGTGCAGAATCAGTGATCTGGCCCATCAAATTATAGCCTCAATTTTGCAGCTTCAGAATCATTCATTTAACATTCTAATTAGTCATACATCATAATAATTTGACTAGTTTAACATGCAACAATAGCTTTAACTTCCATGTGGAAACTTTTAGTATTTATATATCATACTATCATTACGCATATACATTAATGTTACATAGTCAATACAACTTCATTCTAATAAAGATGTAAGATTACAACTAGCATAAGATAAACATTTCACAACAAACTATACATGCTTCCCATGCTCTCCTTTATGCTACTTCCGTTTTTTTTTTTTTTTTATCAAAGTACCTATTATGATTGGTAAGGGGGGATGAGATTCAGGAGAATCTCAGTAGTAAATATACCAATCAAACATACAAGGCATTGCTTGGCATAACATAACATGCTTGTAAATTTATCATTTTCATCACACAATGACATGTTCAAAGACCATCATGCATCAACTATAAAAGACATAGGCTTATGACATATTTAAAATATAATCACATGCAACAATGCATGCTTTCATATGGTCACATAAACATAACAAAACATGTCAATTTATACAAGCAAACACTAAGCATGCGAGAGAAAAGTAAAGTTTGCTACCCGAAAGCTTTATATTTTTTCTTGCTTTCTTTTCTTCCAACCATTAAGGATACTTAACCAATCTTCCCATTCATCTTCCTTGACCTCTCATGGCCCCAAATACAAAAACACATTATGTATTTCACTTATTAGAGCCATGGTAGCAAGTATTGTTCATAACTTGCTATCTTTAAACCCTTAACCAAACATTAATTTTTAAGTCTTTAAGCCAATCCTTCTAAAATTATTTCTACATGCTACCAATACATAATTTTGTATATAGAATTCATTTCCAAATTCAAAATTAACAAAATCTAACTCCTTCTCCTTGAATTAGCCTTAGGTAAACACTTAATGTTTTAGGACAAAAATTTTATTTTGATTTCTAATGCTTCCAAAACCACTCCTTATCTTTACCCTACATAATTTTTCATTTTAAACTCATTAGAAGTATCAAAATCATCAAGTTTCATTCTTATCTAAAACCCTAGGTTGGTTGAAACATACAAGACAAATAGGAAAGTTGGGTTCCTTCCATTTTTATCACTATACTCTTCATTAACATACTTTTCTACCTCTTAAGTCTTAATCTTTAATCTATCTTTGATCAATCCTTTTCATGGCTCTTTCTTACATGTCATGCTTCCAAAACTCATTAAAATCATAATCAAACAACATAAATCAAAATGCCAACATCAATCAAACTCATAACTTATCTTAAGTTTGTACATGGTTTTTTAGTAATTCTTTCCCTTCCTTTCCTTCTTCTTATTGTTCTTCTATTCCTCTTGAAATTTTTCCCCTTCTTTTTATCCCTATCGGCTAAAAATCCTCATCAAATAGGATAAAAAGTGTAACATTCCAGATTTTAGGTCTAGAAATACCATAATTAGCTTGAAATAGACAAGCTATTAGGATCTTTGTGGCAGGAGTTCTTAAAGTTTTCTAGAAGGACGAGAGGATTCCACAGAACTAAGTTACAGAGTATGAGTTTTCTAGAATCACAAGATAGGCAAGTTAGAGAGTCTCAAAGGCTTAAGGATGGGAATTGGAGATGATTTATGGCCAAAGGTTATGCTAGCAACCTTAATATGATTCTTGAGGCTAAACCTGAGTAAGGACCTTATCATATATTCAGAAAGTTTTGGGCCAAAAAAGGCAGTGATGGAAAATATGCCTAAAAATTCCAAAGAATTCTAGAATGGGAAATGAGGTTCTAAGACATGCATGAGACTAAATGATGAAAGTACTATTAGAGCAAATGATGAATTCCCAGGGTTTTGGCTAATTTTGAATATTAGCCAAAATTAAATTGTTTAAAATATGAGAAGTCCTCAGATAATTGGAAATAAATATCAAATAAATATTTGAAAAATTATCACATGTTTTAAAAATTATTTGATCCACAAAAAGTGAAGAGGTTGGTTTAATAGAATTTAAAGCTCATTTATACATTATCTAGGGAAAGTCAAAATAAACTGTCTATAGGTTGACTTTTAACCTGAGAAAAATTAGAGAAATTTTCTATAATCAAAAGTAGTATCGGTATCCAAAGATAGATTCTTAGAGTTATGGAGCAATAGGGAGAATTCAGCCAAGTTACTCTAAAATAAATACTATTAAATGTTTTAATGAAAGAACAAAGAGAAGAGCATCCCTCCCTCCATATGCATGTTAAATAATACCATGTGAAGTTATGTGGGATAAGAAAAGAGTGCCAAAACATGTCCCAAGAGACTTACTCAGAAAAGTACTCAATATAGTGTAAAATTGTGAAATAGGTAGAGGAATAATCAAGGGTGAGACGAAGCACAAATTTCTCCTATTTTAATGCGAATTTGATCAGGAAACATGGTTGAAATTGTATAATTTGTCAAAGGGCATTTTTGGAAGAAATGAGATTCTTTAATTAAAAAATTATGTTTTACCACATGTGTGATTAGGTGGCTCATGATGTGGCACCATTTAGAAGAAAGAAATAAATGAGCAAGACACTTAAGGGAGTTATATGGCAAGATCACAAGGGACATGGTTTAAGCAAATGACATGTGTTATGGTAAAGGTAAATTAGATCAACTAAAGTAAATGGTAACTCTTGCATTATAAATACCACTCCCTCCCATTCATTGTGAAATTTTTGATTAAAGAGAGGAAAAAGAGGGAGGAGACTGAAATTCATAGAGGAATAAGGAGAAGAGAAGGAGCAAGGGAAGTCATGGAAGATCAAACTCCAAGACAAGACATGGTTGTGGCTTTTAGTCTAATTTATCTTGTTATTTGTCTTATTGAGTTTAGCCATAGTTTTGACAGATTTTGGAAGCTTGAAACCCTAATTTGAGGTGTTGTTCAATTATGTTTAAATCATGAAAATGATTTATTGATGTCATAATCATGTTTAAAGGCTTAAAAGGAATAAGAATCAAGTGATTTTGAGATAAGTTGTGAAAGATTTCGTTGTTATGTACTTAAGGATATGTTTCAGCCACTATGTGTTCTTAAGGCTAGGGTTAAATTTTGATGATTTTAATACTTTCAATGAGTTTAGAAGATGAAATTGTGTAGGTTTGTGTTAATAAAATATCTTTGGAAGTATTGGAATTGAAAATAAAGAGAGAGCGATTGAAAGAGGTCAATTGCCATATTAAGGCACGAAGAGTCCATTGAATCTTGGAGTTCATAGTAGAAATCTTAGAGGATTTCTAAGGACTGAATGTAGGTCAAGTAATAGACCGAATCAGTATTAATTTGCTGTGTTCTTCTCCCTCTTCAATCCTTTGGTGATATGGTTCTAACTCAATATTCGTTCAATTGTTTTCATTCTTATTTAAGTTTAGAATTTTTAATTATCACCAAATTCACCCCCTTTTGGGTGAAGCTACCTACTAATAATAACAATTCATTCAAATTAATTATGAAAATTATGCTTAAAATTATCTAATTAAACCATTCACCAACTCAATTAAATAATCGAGAGGCAAAAAACACAAATTTTGCAATTCAAACTACATTAATAATCAAATCCATAATGGGAACTGAATTATAAACTTAATTAATAATGCAAAGGTTCTCTACCAAAAAAAAATTAAAAACAATACGAAGGCTCATAAATATAAATTCGAGCAAATATCTCATGACAAACATAATTCACATATCTATCCAATCGGAGAATGAAAATGGTAAATATTTAGAACTAAATTATCTCAAAACAATTCAATTTAAAATTATTTAAAAATAAATAATCTCAAGCTCTTTGAACTAAAAAGATAAATGAAATCACTTTTTTATGGTCTTTAAGTGCTAACCCAAAGCTCTAGTTTTCCTCCACACTCCTCCCCAGTTGTCTCCCAAGTAAGCCAAGCTACCTTAGATGGTGTGAAATTAGCAGAATAATGGAAGATGAGGAATAAGTGAATAAATGGAATGAAAATTGACTAGTAGAGAGGGAGGTGGCTGCCAAGGAGAATAATAAGAGAGCATCCATTTATAGAAGCAAGAAAGGGCTTTTAGGTATAAGATTTAAACATATTAGCAATGAAATAACCTATTTAAACTTAGCTATTAGATTGTCTTTGAGCTTCAAAAAAATTATTCTATACCATTGGATTTCTTATTTTGCTCTTCCTTGACCTATAAGAATTAAAATGCATCCATTAACATATTTAAATATAATATAATCCATATCAAAATTAGATATGCACCAAAAAATGAGGCAAGAAATTCTAAAACCTTCCAAAGAGCAATTTTTCAAAAATATGAGCATTGAGTTTGAAGAAATAGGAAATATTAATTTCAAGCCAAAAATACAAAACCACCAAAGTATTCATATTTTCACCCAATAATCTTAATTTTTATGAAAATTCCCAAAATTAATCAATTAATCCAATAATGTATAAAAAAATTTATTAAAACTCAAAATATCATTTAAATCCTAAATTAATGTGGGATAAAATGTATAAAAATTAGATCCTATCAACTTTCATCATTCAAGTATTCTGATGACTAAAATCAAAACTTCGATAAATTTTACATATTTAATGCTACGGGTATCCGCAATTCATTTTTTCACGCAATATCTGGGAACCCTTCTTATGCCATGGACTTCAGGCCAGCGCTGTGCTTAACTCAGGAAAATACAAGTAAATGCTGTACGGTGTAAGTTACATGCAATTTAATCAACAGATACGTGCACCAACGTCGACTTTCTATTGCCTCGTAAAATCATCTACAGAAGGCAAAGAATTCATCTGCTTGTTTTGTACTCCTGTCTTTGATGTTACAAGATTTGAATTTCGCTCTGCTTTGAACATATTACAAAATAACAAGTTACAACAACAATCTCATTGCCGCCATGGCATATGTACGAAGCAGCATTTAACTAGCAACCTAACATTTTGGTAATCACATCTGTTAAGGATTGGTGCTTCTACTGTGTGCTTATCGCTAGATCAACCTGACTTGTCCCTTGCCCTTTTCCAATCCATCAACACTACTTTTCTGACTTTCTGTTGACTGTCAAAGGCCTTATTGAAAACCCTAGAGGCAGGAGGTGGCATCATACTATGTTGCTTCAGGATGCCCGTGTTTAAATGTTTATTTTCCATAATGGGTTCCCTGACTGATTTAACTGGCAACGATCTGCTTGATTTTGAAGTTGGCCATGCACATGGTCCTTTCTTGACAGTATTGGAAGGACCACCATCCTTGCTCTTGACTATGGAAAGCCTTGGCTTCTTTGAGGGCATAATTCGCTCCACGCCTCTTGTCAACTGATTGGATCCAATTGCCGATATTTGTTTAGAAATCATTTCCTCAGATTTCTCGTATGACTTCCAGTTGCGAAGTTTTGTGGCCTTATGTGAAGCCTTCTTCAGCCACCCTGAAGTGCCCTCATTCTGCCTTGGCGAGCGAGTTGCCATTTCATATAGAGTTTGTGCAGCACCTAGTAATTCTGGACAACCATCTGTCAACACAAAAAATGTTAAACAAGAGAAAGAGAAGAGGAGGAAAAGTTATTTTTCAATTGCAAAAACAGTAAGTTCCTTCAATTTTCTAGAGACCAAAATACTTCAGATCTTATAAGGACCTGAAGTAATTGGTGATTCCAAGAGAGAACTCATGAGGGCTTAGAATGCTTAGGAAAGAAAAGTACGCACAGGAAAAAAAAAAACCTGGGGCGCATAGACAGCTAAACAAGTGTATGCACATTAACAAAAGATGCGTTGTAGTATTTGATAAGAACATACCATATTTTTTACTATCCACCAGGCCTTCAAAATCTGCATTTTTGAGGAAAATATCAAAACCAAATGCCACTAAAGCATATCCAGAGAAAAAGGAGGGACCAGATGGAATAAGAAATGAAATCAAAATGGTAACATAAATCCAGCTATTGATAGACAAAAATGTACCTGTAGTATCCCGAGATCCTTTTGAACATGTTAGAGAAGACGACGAAACCCAATGACAGAAAGGAAGACTGGCACATGAAGATGGTAAACCCTTATTGTCTGAACTACCAACTGAAGGAACTAAAGTCTGATCATAGCTGAATGTATCAAGGTTCATGAAGCTCCCCCGATTCATTCCCATATAGCTAGTAACAAATCCTATCTTTGCCCATTTACCTTGGCATGTGATTCTACTTGATAACTTAACTGTATCGGAATTAGTTCTACAATGACCACTGAAATTATGAGACCAAGGAAAGGCTGTCAAGCTAGGTCGACGACTGACCTGCTTGACCGTACGAAGATCACTATTACTTTTTGAGGTGACAACAGCCTTCGATGCATCAAGGAGCAAAGAATCCAAATCCCGAGATTGGGGGAGTGCAATGCGTTCCAAAACATCCTTAGGGTGATATAATGGAAAGTCCAGAGGACTAGCTGGAGTTCCAGTTTCACTAGAAGGTTCCTGTATATCATTAACAAATATTAGCTCTCGTTGCCCCCGCAGATCACATTACTATCATGAAACTAAATTATCATGGGCACAACACCAAAACACATGCATAAGCATAATCTTTCTTTTTTAATGTGAAGAGATTGAAGAAATCAAATGCAGAAAGCATGGTGTAGCTAAGAAGTGCCCCAATACCAGCACAAAATTATCCATACTTACAATGCGACCTTCAGAAATATCTGTTACACGAGACTGCTCTTTATCTCCATTATCCCCACTTTGTCCAACACATACAGAACTTGATTCCGAAGCAGACATTTTCCTGTTTGAGGAGCTGTCAATCTCAGCCGTGCACTGTGATTGAACAGCTTTTGGGACATGAAGGATGGAGCAAGACTTTCTAACAGAGCTAAAAAATTGTTCAGTAATATTTGATGTTTTCTTCCCCTTATCTTTGCCCAAGCTAGGGCAGTCAAACGTGCCTTTAAGGAGCTCATCTAAAGTTGGCTCTTCCATAAGCTTTGTTACATCATGAATATCATGCTTTAGACCATATAATCCTGGCAACAGGAACCGAAAAGTTCACTTGAAATGTGCATAAGGTTTTCTTAATAGTAGCAATTATAAAGCATGAAAAACTAAGGGGGGGGGGAATTGGTATATGAGAAACAAAAACCTCATCAATAAGCCAAAATCGTTATGGTCAAGGAAAAAGCCCAAAATGGAGAATTGCAGTTTAAAATAAGACATAAATAAGAAATTCTGAAGACGTAGAAGGAAAAAAAGCTGGATATCAATTTATGCCTCCATTGTGGTCCAAATACAACTACAATGACTGTCATTTGAAGGATGACATTTTAATAGGAAGAAACAGCTTAAAACATTGATGCATTACAACCAAGAGACCCTAATACGATGTCAATCATATGAGAGGCTGAAACCACCTCATTGCTTTTAAGCTGATAAAATATAAGCCCAAAGTACACCAATTTTTGGCTTCATTGCTTTTAATTATTTGGTTAAGAAAATATAATATACATTCACACAGCACAATAGTCAACTAATTACACGTTGTTCTCAAATTTATTAAACACAAGATAATTGTTAGATAACATGCCACAAACACCAAAATAAGATTTCAAACAGGTTGAAAGAGTGATGCCGTGAGATTATATACGGAGTTATAACATGGTGGTCGGTCAATAAACACTGGAGAAATAATCACATGACAATATAGCCACAAAGAAACTGAAGGCACAGGAGGTTTGATCATTTCTAGAACAATACAATATGCCCAAAACCATACCAAAAATGTTGTTCCCTCCACAGGCAGAATTGAAGACTGCTGCACCCAACTTCATAGATGATGAGTCAAATTTAGCCTTTGAAGGAAATTTAAAGTTCTTCTTATCGCCACGCTTGCTACCGTTGCTCTTTTGTTTTGATAACTGACTTTTTTCTATGCCAAGATAAAGAAAGTTTACAAGAACATAGATGTAGAATCAATAATATATTATATTGACAGGTAATTTGAGTGCCAAACACAGCCAAAAGAGTTGTACCTGAAGAACCACTCTTTATATGATTTGATGCATGCTTCTCAGAAAATTTCTTTGAACTCTCAATTCCTTTCAGGCCCATAGAATCTTCTGATATTCGTGGCCTCTTCGAACTTGAAGTAACACTCTTATGAACTTTTCCTGCCTTTTGTTGCAATGGCAAACCTTCAAGTTTGGAAGAAATTACTGGGCAATTTTTTACTTTGCCATGCGTACCATTGGATACCTCTTCACCCTGAAGATTGGACAACATACTAGAATTCTTAACGAGCTCATTCTCAGGAAATACATCTCGGAGGTGAAGCTCAGTGTCGCTTTTCACATTTGCAGCATCTGGAAAATTAAAAAAGCAAAAAAACCACAATAAGGCCATGTAAAGGAGTAGCCCAAAAATAAGTAACCATTCGCAACCAAGCAATAATACACATGCAAGCAAAACAAATAAGCACGTCAAAAGTTTAGGAGTGACATTAATAATACATTCTGCCCAAGGGAACTGCTTGGTTAATGTGACATGCACAGAATATACCCAGTTTAATCTTAGCTTATTCAATTATTTCACAAAACCATAATGTCACTGGGAAAATAGACTACAGGAAGTTGTTGGATAAGAACTTCTCAAACAATAAGTTCTTTTAAAATGAATTATGTTCAATAAATTTTTGATTGATTTATAATATACAACAAATCACGATTTTAGCCATAACTACATGTTAAAACTAACAAAGTTTATTAATTTCAGTAATACTTCAACAAGCAGTGCAAGAAACTCTCACTCGGGGGATTAAGGGCAGCAACTACATTACATTATATATTATCTACCTACTAGAATGGCACAGAGTTTATTCAATGCGTTAACTACTAGTGTTGAACACAATAAAGAGCACTATTCATGGCTGAGGAAATTAAAACAGAGGAGAGCTCAGGTTGATCCCACCATACTACTTGGGGGAAACTAAAATAGAATCCTGGAGCAAAGATAGCCAGTGAATCCGTCTAGGCCAGAACACTTGGCAGCGGTTTTCCAAAACACTTCATTCAATGCATAAATAGTCCTTTAATACGAAGCACAGACACCCACAAAAACATTGTTTGCATGTTTGCCAAATCAAATATTCATAACAAACACGACATGAATCTACATGACTCGTATATACGTCAAATTTTGTCCTGGTGCCATGTCGGTGTCGATACCCGTGATTCCTAAGTCCAATATGATCCCATTAATTCACGAAACAAACAAAACATTCCTTTATAACATCAATTTTACATTTCAGTTATGCATTGAAAATTGCAGGGGAAGAATTATAGCTGTAGCTAGAGTAGATGCCTGGAGGTTCATTTTCACCACTAATGAGAAAATAATGAGTATTCTTAAAATACTGTCAGTAAACTAAGTTATCACAAGGACATTCTATAATTGACCTTTTTCCTCAAGGCAATTGCGAGGTCACAGCATCTAAATCTAAAGTTTTCATAATTTCAAAGCCATCCCACATAGCATCAACTACCCAAAAAATAAATAAATAAATAAATTGCTCAACTAGAATGAAAGTAAGGCATATTACCCAAACCGATTGAACAGCTGTTTTTATGCATTTCACAAAAAAAAAAAAAAAAAATTGGGACGAGGGGGAAACTTTCAAGAACAGCACACGCATTCGAGAGCTCAGACTAAATAAACGACAACCACACACCATTTCCCAGTCCGCGGTCGCAACACTCAATCGAATGGTTGACTACAATGGAAACGCGATCAGATCCCCGACCTTCCACCTCCTTGACTGTAGCCCCAGCTCTGGCAAAACCCTCGGGCGCTATCAACTTTGGAGCGGGTGCGACGTCTACGGGGAAAGGTAATTCCACAGTATCCATCGCAGTGAACAAAATCCCTCTTAAAACAACACGACCGGGAGATTAAGATGCAGTAGCTAGCATCTTCGAAAACTCAAAATCCATGAGAATAAACGATTGCAAATAAGCAAAAGGGGTGCACCTAACAGGTACGCGAGCAAATTTCTAGAAAAGCCCAGCTAGAAGAAGTGGATTTACTGACAAAAAGAGGGGAAGAGTGATGAGAAATTGAGTGGTTGGTGGGGGTGAGCATGTTGCGGCTAGAGGAGGCGAAGCAAGGGTTTCTAGGGCAAAAATATGGATGAAAGAGAGAGATATATATAGTTTTCGGGAAATGGCTAGATGTGTTGGGAATTTAGACATAGCCGGTCGGCAAGGAATATTCCGGTGAAGGTTAAAGGCCTTTCCGGACACCCAGACGTGGCAGTATCCCTCCATTATGATATGAATTTGCGAGCCAAGTCCTGGGATTAAATCCAATTTTGTTTTGATTGAATCAATTAAACGACGAATGGGTTAATGTGACCAAGCAAACTAACATGCCCACGTGTTCTCCAAATCATGTGGGCCTCGTAGACACATTCCACATTTTTTATTAAATGAGTTAAAGTGTATTTAGATTAATCATAGTAAGTACTCCCTCTGTTCCTTATTATAAGAGACAAATAACCGAAGTACGTTGATAAAAAAAAAAACAGTTAAAATTAGTTGAGAACAATTAATGTGTAAAAAGTATAATTTTTTGGAAAAATCCCAGAAAAAGCCCTTGGAATATACCAAATCCCAGATTGGGCCCTTAAATTTCGAAAATGACAGAATGGGTCATTGACCCAATTTGTCATTTGTGAAATTCAGGCGAATTGACATTTTTGCCCCTGAGCAAAAGTGAGTAGTTATTCTCTAAACAAATCTAGGTAACGCTTATACTGTTCTAGTGATTACAAGATTCGTTGTAGTTAATAATAAGGTACCTGACAATAATAAGATACCTGACTATGAAAAAATGAGTAGTTATTCTCTACACAAATCTAGGTAATGCCTACATTGTTCTAGTGATTATAGCATTAGTTGTAGTTAATAACAAGACACCTGACTATGAAAAAGTGAATAGTTATTCGCTATACGAATCTAGGTAACACCTAACTCTTATAGTGATTCCTTGAATCATTGTAGTGAATGAATAAATGAGGGCAAAATTGTCAATTCGCCTGAATTTCACAAATGACAGATTGGGTCAATGACCCATTCTGTCATTTTCGAAATTTAAGGACCCAATCTGGCATTTCCCATATTCCAAGGACCTTTTTTGGAATTTTCCCTAATTTTTTTTCAAAATGCCCTCATTAATAAGGAGAGAGAGCATGAGAGATAACAATTAATTTATTAAAAGAAAGAGAAGTGGGAGGGAGAGAGAGTGTGAGTTGGAGATAATAAATATGGGTAAAATAGTAAATCAACACAAAAAAGTAGAGATGACTTGTAAGTGTCTCTTATATATAGGAACATGCCATAAGCATCAAATGTCTCTTATAATAAGGAACGGAGGGTGTAGTTTTTTTTTTCCAATCTGGATTTTGCTAACTCAAGCTGTGTTTGAAATCAGATAGTATAATATGATTTATGTTTTCATTAACTTTTGTAAAAAAATCAATTTGACAAAATGAAATTTATTTAGATAACAATTAATGAAATTAAAAAGTTAGCTTAAATTGAAAATGATTAAAAACAACATAAATTTTATTAAGTAATACAGATTTAATACTATATGGATATAATGTGATAATTACAACAGAAAAATAAAAAATAATTTATTATTAGGAAGAAATTGAAAAATACTAAAATATTTAATTAAATATATTTAATAGCTAAAAATGTTATAAATTAGAAATCGTACAAATGTTAAAAAAAATAGCTAAATAATATTGCAGAGCCACTGAATAAGTTCTAAACAATAAAATAAAAACAAAAAAATGTTTTTTAATTAAAAAAAGATATATAAAGATAAAGTAAATAAATGAAAAAAAAATGGCATGGTGCTTTATTGTTTTTTCCAGATTTATGTTCAATTTATGTAATATCTCGAATTTTGGATCTAGAAGTACCAGAATTAGCCTAAAAAGGTACCCTTTTTGGTAAGAGTCCTAGAAGCTTTCTGAGGGATAGAAGGATTCTCAGGATCTAAATCGCAAAGCAAAAGTTTTCTGAAATTGAGATAAGAGAAAATTAGAGACTCTAGTGAAGTCTCGAAGCCCAAGAATGATAAATGAAGATGAATAAAGACCAAAAATTATGTTAGAGGCCTTAATGAGGTGAATTATGAGGTTAAGCCGAACTATGGGCAAAATCATAATTTTACAAAGTTTCGGGCCGAAAAAGGTAAAGATAGAAATTATGCCCGAAAATTTCAAAAAAATCTCAGAAAATAGAAAATGGAATGTTAAGGCCTGTATGTCACACCTACCTTTATTAGCATATGATACCATGATAAGGACCATTTAGAACCATTATTCAAGACATAAAGGTAAGAAAATTCCATATTTTTAAAATTGGTTCCGAATTACTATCCACTATTCACTTAAATTTTTATAATATTTGAAAATTCATAACTAATTATAAAAAAATCAAAATGGGATAGTTCCAAACTCTATTTGAAGCTTGTAATACAATATTTAAGGAAAAAATACTCATTGGTATCATATCCTTATGAAAAAAAGTCAGGAAATTCGCAAAGTTGTACTATTCATTTGGTCATTTTTTAATTTTTTAGTATTTTAGCTCAACTTTGGAAGGGTATAACTCTTAGCACAAAACTCCAAATTTGATGATCTACCACTTGATTTAAGCTTAAAATAAAATCTATAAATTTGTAAAATCTCATGTCCAAATTCGATCATTTGCTCATTATTTTATGTGTCCCAAATTTGTTCAGTCTTAGGGCATTTTTATCCTTTTAATCCAAATTTCTTGCACTTTCTTCCCTTTTTCTTCCATACCACATCCAACCAACTATACCAAATCAACATCTAGGAGTAGTAACACAACATTATAATTACATGGTCTCAAGTTTACCCCATTCATAATCCATTACAAAATTATATCAAAGTTCATCAATTTACAACATCATTTTTACATAGCCATAAGAGTCACATAGCTATACAATCCCAATAGCAATTCCTTGTCCTTGTCCTTGCTTGATCCACTTTCTAGTTAGTGACATAGAAAAGCATGAGATTTCATGAAAATCTTAGTAGTAATGAACCATAATTGTCATGTTAATCATGCTTTACATAATGTGACATGTTACAGTGCTTGAAAACATCCTCAAATCATATAGGATTATGTCATTCATTGTGCCATGAAAGGAAACCAACACATATTCACGTTGGCATATCATTGTGCATTCTACTAAAGCATATCAAGCATTATAAAATCAACCATTATCATAGTATAATTCAACCAACATAAAACAAGCAACACATACACATTAAGTAAGCAAGAAAAACAATCAAATTATAGATTCAATGCTACCTTTTAACCTTGAATCAATTCGCTTTCTTGAGGGTTTAATCTTCTCCCTTGTTCTTCTCCACAAAACCTATCAATTCAAGCATAATTACAAGCCAAATTATCAACCATTCAAGCTTGATTTCAAACACTTAACCTTAAATCTAATTAAATCCCCTTTTTCTTTGATTTTTGGCATTATTGTTTCTCCTTTGCTTCCATCAATTTCTTAGTTCATTCCCATATAATTTTTCATGCAGAATCCAAATATCAATTAAGATTTAACAAAATCACACTCCTTCCCTTTCAACTTGCATTGGCCGAATTGTTCCCTCTTTAAGTTCAAAATTTTCAATTTTGATTTCAATGCTTCCAAACACTTTTTCTTGGTGTTTCCCTACATAAAACACCTTTTGAACCCATTTGAATCATTAAAACATAGCAAAACAAACTCCTACCCTAAGAACACATCATGGCCAAAATGTATGCTAAAAGTCCCTAACTTGGTTTTCTTCCTAAAATCAATCAAAACACTATTTAAACATAATAATTTCATCCTATTTTCAAGGTTTCTATTCTTCCCCAAGTCACACTTTACTTGACCGAAAATGGGCAGCATCATAACGTTGGATTACAACTTAAATTTCCAACCAAAATAAGCTTTAAACTAATCAAAATAAAGCTCAAACTTACCTTGATAAATCTTTGACCAAAGCTTGGTATTTCCTCCTTCAAATGTACTGTCTAAGGCTCACTTCTAAGCTCAAGAATTCAGTTTGGTAGTACCTCCCTTCTTTTGTCAATTTTTGGCCAATTTAGTGTAATTAGCAAGGTATTTATAGAAAAATTTCTGATCCCTTCCCCCTTCATATGTGGCGTGATGAGCTGCTAAATAAGAGGCCAAGTGGCTACCATCAAGAGTCTCTAATTTGCTGATTATGCCATGTGTCCATTTTCAAGAATATTCCATTGATGTTTTAAGTGAAAATTGGGTTTAAATCCATTTAAATGTTAGGCCATGTTTTGCACAAAACTTTTGGGGCCCAAAATGAGGCCTAATTCTGATTTGGAATGATCAAGGAAAATGATCCAATTATCAAATATCAATTCCAAGTAAAATTGAAGTTTATCGGTAAATATTCATTTGTAACTTTCAATAATTATTGTAGGCCTCCAAAATTATATTTCTCTCCATAAAAAATCCTATTTTAATATAGGAATACATTCTAAAAAAATTTAGAACTTTTCTCCACCTCTAACTATTTATTTTGAATTTCCTCTGAATAAAGCTTTATTGGTAAGACTTTTGGAAATAAATTTTCTAAAATTAATTCCTATACTTCCAGGGTCTAAAATTAATTTTATAAACTCAATTAAATATTTAGATAATTTTTTCATTTTTTTAAAATTATTGAGGCCTCTAAATATTTAAAATAATTATTTTTCACTCAATTTTTCCTATTTTTCCTGAATAATCTCTATTTTCAGGAAATTCTATAATAAATTGTTTTCATACTATTTCCACCTTCGAGGCTTCAATTGAGATTTCAAAACTTCTAGTTTACGTTTTTACTATTTTTTGAGAATTTTCTAAAACTATTCTCAAATTTTTCCATTTTATCCTTTCTAGTCCGATAATTCTAAAAAAATCAATCCGGACCTTATCTGGGTTTCATATCAAAAGTTATTTCATATTTCAATCTACTTTCTATATTGGCTCTCAACAAAAAATTTTAACTCCCAACACTGTATGTGAAGAAAAATTGTAGAAACGCACTTGAATTAACT